AAAACAAAAGGATGGAAGCACAGGAGCCAACCTGAGAGAGCTCTCAATGACCAAAGCTAAAACAATTTCAGCGACAAAATAAATGACATAGTATTAGCTTATGGCACAAAGAACAGAATAAATATCTGTGAGCCCATACAGATTACATAAATAAATGATTGAGTAAATCAATAGAGAACAAGTCTTTCTCACTGAATAATTTGAAATAATATATGAGGATACTCCTGTTTTTAGAAGGTAGAGTTTAGTTCCTCCCTCCCCTCTTTAATGACTCAGCCCCAAAGAATAAAATGTGAAAGGGAAAAATACTGAATGTGGAAAAACCTGACAAATACCATAATTTATTAAACTAGCCTTCTGTTGATGGTCATTTAGGTTGTTTCTAATCTTTTAGTATTTGAATCTAGCAGTAAGTAAAAAAAGATAATGTATCAGGACTGCATTGGATTTGTGCAGGATTTTATTATTATAATAATATGATATAATATAATATTAATTGACCTCATTGACAACTTAAGGGGAAAAAACGTGATCATCTCATTGCATACAGAAAAAGCAGTAGGTAAAATCCAATAGCCATTTATGACAAAAATTCTTAGCAACAGGGAGTAGAAGAGAACTTTCTTAAATGGCTAAAATATCAGCAGAGTCCTACAGCAAGTGAACTTAATGTATGAATACTAAAAATATTCCTTTAAAAAATCAAGAATATAATAAGGATGTATGCTATCACTACTTCTATTCAATTATGGAGTTCCTAATTAGAATAATAAAACAGAAAATAAGAAAAATAGAAAAAAATTGTCACTCGTGGTTGGTAATTATTGACTACATAGAAAATTCTCTGTGTAGACAATAATTTTCTATGTAGATAATAATTACCAACTACAAGTGACAGTTTTCTTTTTTTCTTATTTTAGAACTAAAGTTTGGGGCCAGGTGTGGTGCCTCACACCTGTAATCCCAGCACTTTGGAAGGCCAGGGTGGGAGGATCACTTGAGCTTAGGAGTTAGAGACCGGCCTAAGAGACATAGGAAGACCCCATCTTTACAGAAAAAAGAAATTAGCCAGGCGTGGTAGTGCATGCCTGTGATAACAGCTACTTGAGTGGCTGATGTGAGAGGATTGCTTGAGCATGGGCAGTTGAGGCTGTAGTGAGCTGTGATCATGCAGCTGCACTCCAGCTTGGGTGACAGAACAAGGCCCTGTCTCAAAAAAAAAAAAAAAAGTTTGGAATGATTAAAGGATATAAGACAACAACAACAACCAAAAAATGTATTTTAATACAGCAACACCAAACTGTTAGAAAAGGTAATATAAAATACTATAGCAATGATAGAGTTGTGTCTACAAATATATGCAAGCCATTTATGTAGATATTTATAAAACTAAAAAACTTATGTGAATGGAGAGATACAGTATGTTGATGGATAGGATGGCAATATAATAATGATCTTATTTCCTTTAAAAATAAGTTACCCTGATACTGCCCTGTAGATTAAATGCAGTTCTAGTCATAATCCCAAAGGGTGGATCTTGGTTTTGCTTTTGGTAGAGTGTAAAAGGCACCAACATGGCTGAATCTCAGAAATACAATGTTGAGCAAAACAAATCATGAAAATTGTGAAAGAATGTGTACATTGTGATTTCATTTTTATAACATTCTAAAATGGTAAAACTAAGAAAGTGGTAAAACTAAGCAATTGGTAAAAAATATGAAGAAAAGAAACAAAATTATTATCACAAATTAATTGTACCAGTTACTTCCAGGAAATTTAACTGACCAGATTCTTACAGGAGGCTTCAGCAATATTGCCATTAGTTCTATTCTTAAGTTGGGGATGAGGTAGATACATGGAATTTCGTTTTGTATAACTATTACCATTCTTGAAGAAAACATTCAAACTGTTTTTCCTCTGCTGTCACACCAGCACAACAACGGTCAATACAGAAGACTTCTGTGACCCCAAAATATGTGGAGATTTTTCCCCATCAGCAAGCAAGCAATCAGTTCTGCTGCAGATACCAGTTGGGAGTCCTCCAATTCAGTTCCAACACTGTCTGCCTGGAGGTAGTGTCAGATCCCACAGGTTGAGGGCTTAGTCTCCAAGACTGCCTTCTCCATTTTCAGACACCAGTCATGAGTCCTGGCCTGTGGAACTTCTTACCGACTGGCTTCAAGTTGAGGTTTTCACACGTCCCACTTTGGGTTTGATTAATTTGCTAGCACAGCTCACCAAATTTAGGGAAACACATTTATCAATTTATTACAAAGGGTTTATTAAAGGATACAAATTAACAGCCAAAATGAAGAGATACATAGGGCAAGGTCTGGAAGGGTCCCCACTGAGAGCTTCTGTCCCCATGGAGTTGGGGTGTGCCACCCTCACAGCACGAAGGGGCATTCTTGTTCACCCTCTTGTCAGCCTCCATGTGATCAGCTCCCCAAAAGCCCCCATGGATCCCTATCAATGGAGACTTCATTGGATAGGTATGATTGAAGTATGCGCAACTGTGTGAAAATGTGATTGAATGTAAAGGGCATGATCTAAACCCAGTAAGGCCTGTTTAGATTGTTCTTGATCCCTCTGCAGCATTCCTTCCTCCAGGGTATGAGACAGAACCTCTCTGGAATGAGGCTCTTTTGACCCACAATCAGATGAGAGTTCTGCCTTGGGCAGGTGAAAAGCAGGCAGGAGAAGGTCAGAGATTCTGTTCACTTCAACGAAGAGTATGGGAGTTATGAGCCAGGAATCGTGGACAAAAACACTTTGTATATTTATATATCACACTGTTATTAGGTATGAAAACATCATTCTTTTGCCCACTTTGATAAGAGATCTTGTATTTTTCTCAAACTTTTTATGTTGAAAGTTTGTAATAGTGCAGTAAAAACCGTATATTCTTCACCTAAAGTCACTAATTGTTAATCCTTGCTCCCTTGGCTTTATATTACTCTCATGCATTGCATTTAGTTGCCGTGTCTTTTCAGACTCCTTTAATTGATACAGTTCCTTACCCAGTCAGTTGTTTCGTACAATTTTCTTTAATTTGAATTGCCTGACTTTTTCCTTGTGATTCAACTTGGGTTGAACATTTAACTAGGAATCCTACACAGGTGATGTTGTCTCTCAGGAAGCACATGATGTTGGTTTGTCCCATTTACTGGTGTTAATTTGATCATTTGATTTAAAGTTTATCTGGCAGGTTTTTCCACTGTAAAGGAACCTTTTTTATTTTTATTTTTATTTTTTTTTTCTGAGACAGAGTCTCCCACTGTTGCCCAGGCTGGAGTGCATGGAGTGCAGTGGTGCGATCTTGGCTCACTACAACCTCCGCCTCCCAGGTTCAAGTGATTCTCCTGCCTCATTCTTGTCCCTCAGCCTCCCTAATAGCTGGCATTACAGGCACCTGCCACCATGCCCAGCTAATTTTTGTATTTTTAGTAGAGATGCAGAGATGTGGTTTTACCAGGCTGGTTTTGAACTCCTGACCTCAAGTGATCTGTCCACCTCGGCCTCCCCAAAAGTGCTGAACCACTGCGCCCAGCCCTATTCTTTTTTTTTTTTTTTTTAAACAAGAAGTTCATGTAAACACCAAGATGCTTGACTTGAAGGGAAAACTAGGATTTTTTTTTTTTTTTTTTGAGTAATTTATCCCTACTTAAAGACAGATTGCCCTGTATGTAACAGCTACGCAGGAAAAGTTATAAAATTGTCTTTGGTTTTACATTGATAAATGAAAAACCTTAAAATTCTCTAATTGAACAAGATATGCAGGGATTTTTATGGGGTTTTTGGTGGTGGTGTTAAAACAGAGCAAAATAACTTACTGAAATGTAAAGATAGCTGAATGAATATGCCACTAATGGAGAAAGGGTATTTTCACAGAATCAGTGTTTTTCCCCATCCCATCTCCACTTGATGTCAGTTAGAACATACCACTGGCTATTTAGTTTAAAAAATGCAATATGCTTGTGCACATATACCAGTTACTTTAGGTACCATAAAGGAATGGGGAAGGAGGAAATGAAAGAATAGAGAAAACTACTGTAGTCATCAGGATGTGGTGGAATCAAATTGCCATTTTTTGGTTGAGAATGTAATCTTCGTCTGTAAGAACAGAATTCTGGAGTAAAGAAGCAGGTTCCCTTTTCGCTAGACACCTCCTGTCTGCTACTGGAACACAACACATCCATTGTACCTTCAGCTTCTGTTTCCAAATGTGCATGTGTGTCTGTTTCATTGATTGATTGCCCATCAAATTGGAATCTCATCTGCCTCATTGACAATGCCTGTCATTCACATTAGTCTTTCATTAGTTTACCAAGTGGCGTATGCCTCTTAATCTTAAACTGCACCACAGAACCATCCTGCCCGGCCACCTTCAAATTAATGTGATCATTGTTCTCAGTTTTGACTTCTTCCTTGGGCTTTTTGTTGGCCGTAGTGACTGCCAGAGTCTCCTCAGCTGCTGCTTCACAAAAGAGGTACCATGTATGCACCAGGAGTGGCAGAAGAAGGAGGTGGTAGTGGTGGACGAGGGAGAGCCATGTATTCTGTTTCAGGTTACAGGAGCAAAGAAGGGCGATTAGAATGTTTTCATTATACATTACCAAAGATGAAGAAGACTATGCTAATGATTTAGTCCTTTCATCTACCCATTGTTTAGAGTACATTATTCTCATGTTTAAAAATAAATGAATGGTTCACCAGAGTTCTTTTTAAAAACCTGAAAGTAAATAATGATATCTCTGTAAGTGTTTTCCTTCCTATAGTTTTCATTCAAGTGTTTTTTTTTTTTAAACCTAAGTATTGTAAAAGTTTTATGGATCAAATTTTGGATTTGTAATTTTTAAAACCAGTTTTCTCCAAAATGGAAGCGACTTAACACTAAGCAGGATCTTTCTGGATATGAGTGATATTTTTGAAGACTTAGCAGTTTTTAATTGTCCATTGTTTCCTAAACTGTATTTTTAATTTCATTTGCTGTCTCCTAGGGAATGAAGGATGGCAGCACGCCGTGCATTAAAAGCTGTTTTGGTAGATCTCAGTGGCACACTTCACATTGAAGATGCAGCTGTGCCAGGCGCACAGGAAGCTCTTAAAAGGCAAGCTATCCTCCAGGTTCAGCTGACAAATATGTTTGTAAGTGCCATTTTACCACGGCAGATCATTAGCTAAATGGATGGCCTTAAGATGGCATTTTACCAACTTACCATATATAGGAACTGCCTTGGGTTTAGCTTGAGGATGTATGCATTATAATTTCCTCCAAACATTGTTTTCTAAGCCTTTATTAGGTTTGGCCTTTTGTTCCAGTCTTTTTGTTCTATGTGTATGTCATTTTCTAAGTCAGTAATGTAAATGTGGGAATGACAACTCGAGATTCTACAATATGGAATAAATACCATTGGAAAAAATCACAAATGAATCTTGGAATCACAAAATAAAGCACACACAGACAGGCATAGTGCTGCTCTCTCTTGTTTTACCTAAGGTCTAACATTGATTGTGCAGCTCCTCAAATAAAGTTTAGCTAAAGAACTTGAAAATTTTAAATTATTTCCATCAACTAAACGCTTTTAAAGGTTAAGGACTGTCTTATATTTCTCATCTACCAACCACAGTACTAAACAGAAGTCTGGATACAAATGGGATACCCAGTAAAGGTGTGTTAAAGTAAGAGGAATGTGAATGTTTGCTTCTGGGTGTCCTGAAAAAAAAATCAACTCATCACAACAGAACTAATAATGTATATTAAGGATCTTTATCCTAAAATAATTTAGAGAAGTTTTCAAAATCAGCAATATTTAGTATGTGGTACGTTTTTTCCAACCTTAAAATGTTCATAGGATGGTGTTAATCGGAAAATCTAGTGACTCATATCACAGTGCCAGGTATTAGGGCAAAAGATTGACACAAACCTCTCTTTCTTTCAAGGAGCTTACCTTTTGTTTGGGGAATCAAGAAATACATAGTTATATATCTGGCAGGCATCAGTTGGGGGTTATCAATTTAGTTAGGAGTCATGATGTTCATTTTATAGGTGGAGAAGCTTAGTGGACAACATGTTGTTTAAAGTAAAAAAAAAATCTATTGCACAGTTGGACTTTATCTTGACTCCTTGACATGGTTTCTGTCTGAGTTAGCCTTTTTTAGGGGAATAGATGTCTGTTAATCAGTGTGCTCCTGTTGGACAGGGCTTTTACTGCTTTAAAGATGAGCTTTCTACTGTAGATTGAAAGAAAAATCTTTTTACATCTGGTGAACATTGACATCTGTAAGTAGCTATGTAAACTATAAAGCTGCCATTCTGGAGGGGCAAGAGGCTAGACATTGTCATGTTGCTGGCCATAAAAACATTTGGCACAATTATAACAAATAAGGAGATTCTGTAGGGCCAGAATGTAAAAGCTGCCTTTTGACATCTGAATTTTGCCCTCTCCAGATTACGTGGTGCTTCTGTAATCGTTAGGTTTGTGACCAATACGACCAAAGAGAGCAAGCAAGACCTGTTGGAAAGGTTGAGAAAATTGGAATTTGATATCTCTGAAAATGAAATATTCACATCTCTGACTGCAGCCAGAAGTTTACTAGAGCAGAAACAAGTCAGACCCATGCTGCTAGTTGATGATCGGGCACTACCTGATTTCAAAGGTAGGGGAAATTTGGAAAGTTTAAAGACTGGATATTTATATGTACTTACAAATCATTTTTAAAACTGGATGTTTAGAGATGTTTATTATGATTTCCCCGTTATTATTGAAACATTTGATAATACTGATACTTTGGATCTAAATTGGCATTTCCCAAACCTTTTTTGACTGTAATCCATAGTAAGTGAAACACATTACTTAGTAACCTAATATGTATCTGTATGTGTGTCTTTATGTAAGTTAAGCAATACTTACTCTTGCTGTATAACATGTATTCTATTTTCTTTTTGGTTTGATTTTTTTGTTTGATTATGATGATGCTTAGAGCCCTCCAAATTAGTTTTACAATCTAATAATAGATCATGACCCATGGTTTGAAAAAACACAGGTCAAAATTACTTTGAGTATTATAAGCTAATCCTCAATGCAGGAGCCACTATATTAACTTGATTAAATGAGATATACCAGGATCTCTTTGTTTAATGTTATTCTGGATAGTGTGAAGTTTTTACATTGAATATGAAATATTTTTCAATCAAGAGAAAAGTGTTTCTCTTTGGAAAAGTCAACAGATTCTGGAAGAATATCATAGTTTTATGAAGCTTTGCCATATTCTTTTCTGAGGATACTCGGAGTGCAATGGCACAATATAGAAAATGGAGTATAAGTTCAACATGGCTATAGAGTTGGGCAGACCTCAAAACTAGTACTAATAGGAAATATGCCAATGTATCAATCAGAATTATTGTTTGCAAGAAACAGAAACCAACTTTGCTGAATTAAACAGAAAATAAATTTATTAAAAGGATCTGAGTGCTGACAGGAATATAAAATGACACAAAGCCTATGGAGAGGAATTTGGCAGTAGCTGGCAAAATTACATATGAAGCAGCACTTGTAAGAATCTATCTCTAAAATATAGATACAAAAATACACAATGACATATGAACAAGGTTATTCATTACTACCTTATTTGTAATAACAAAAGATTGGAAACAACCCAAATATTCATCAGAAGGGACTGATTGAATAAACTGTGATATATTCACAAAATGGAATGCTTTGTAGCTGAAAATTAAATAATGATGAAGAGTTCTATCTCTTGATAAGGAGTGCTCTGCATAGGATATATTAAATGAAAAAAGTAAGGTGTAGAAATCTTTATACATTTTCTGTGTAGGAAAATGAAAAGAAAATGGATATACATATATATTTGTCTTATATTTGTAAAACGAAGCCAAAGAAGGATAAATGAAAAACTAATAAAAATGGTTACCTAAAGGGGAAGCAAGGGAGGAGGGGGATGGATTAAGAGAGGAGGCTTTTAAAAAAGTCCCCATTACATAGTTTTGACTTTGGAACCGTGTGAATATTGTATACAATGAAAAGACAATTAAGTGAAAAACCAGCCTCCAAATAGAAATGAACTTAACTCTGTATCAGGTTGGTGACATAACCACTCAGAGAAAATAATTACTTCAAATGACTTTAAAGTACAGTATTTTCACCTGTTCATTCATAGTGGGATAAATTCTAAGGACAAAAGAACTACAAAGAGATCTTAAACTGCATTCAGGAGTCTTATTGTTTTTAGTAATACTGTTTTGTTTTGTTTTTTTTAATTAAAGGTATATATAGGACAAAGCAAAGTAGTAACTATTAGATTTTAGTGTCAGTGAAAAGAGATGCAAATAATAAAAATCAAGTAAGTTAAGTAAAAGTTGTGTATTACTACTTTTGAATAGAAAATATAGTTACCAACTCCTTTTTCTCTTAAATAATACGTATTGTGTAATCTTCTGCTGGAAAAGCCTAAAGTAATGACAACCCAGTGCTCAGACTGGTATCTGTGTCAATTCCCACTGTAGTTCTTTGGAGAAATTACTGATTGCAGATCTGGACAGGTATCAGATGAGTCTGGAATAGCTTATTGTGTTAGCAAAGAAACTACTGGAGAATACTCGTGGGTACTGGTAAGGAGGAAGTTGGAAAGCCTAGATGTCTGCAGCCAATAAGAGAGGCAAATAGGAATTGGCATATGGATAATCCATGGAACCTTTAATCAGACTTTTAATAATTATAATGGAGAGGCCAAGCGTGATGGCTCAAATCTGTAATCCCAGCACTTTGGGAAGCTGAGGCGGGTGGATCACCTGAGGTCGGGAGTTCGAGACCAGCCTGACCAACGTGGAGAAACCCCGTCTCTACTAAAGATACAAAATTAGCTGAGTGTGGTTGGCACATGCCTGTAATCCCAGCTACTTGGGAGGTTGAGGCAGGAGAATTGCTTGAACCCGGGTGGCAGAGGTTGCGGTGAGCCGAGATCACACCATTGCACCCCAGCCTGGACAACAAGAGCGAAACTCCGTCTCAAAAATAAATAAATAAAGTTGTAATGGAAAATGTACTTGTTTGATTGTCATGTCTGAAGTTCTAAGATGCCAAGGCCTTAAAACATACTTTAATTTTAAAATAATATTTCTGAAACTAAAAGTAGATAAGGCATTATGTAGAAAATTGTAGACTCTGCAGTGCATTTCATATTAATCATGAATGTGTTAACCTCAGTTGTGTCAATTAGAAAGTCTGATTTCCCTTGCCTCTTAGATTCTCAGTCCGTAATCAGTTGCTATTGATCTGATAGTTCATAGGGAACTCATGGCAGTTCTTGTTGATTGTAATCAGTAAAGCATTTTGAAGTAAGAAATTGTCATTTGTTTGAGGACATCAGGTTACAATTTTCAATTCAGATCTTCTGGTTACTGAGTACCCTTAAGACTATGCACAAGGAATATGGAAAAATGTTAGATTTTCTCTCTTTTTCCCTCCCAACCCTCTTCTCCCTCTCCCTCTCCTTCTGTGTACATTCTCTCATACTTCCAAAGTACACTGGGCAGGATAATCTATTAAATTTTAGATTATGGCTGTAGCAAAAGTTTGCACTTGATTGACTAAAACTGCTGTGTTTTAAATGTGGCATTGCCTTTAATTGCATTTTCAACAATCCATTTTTTTATTTTTTTCCCTTCCCAGGAATACAAACAAGTGATCCTAATGCTGTGGTCATAGGATTGGCACCAGAACATTTTCATTATCAAATTCTGAATCAAGCATTCCGGTAAACCTAGCTATTTATTTTTCATCTGATCATAACACTTTCCTTCTTCCTTTCCTTTGTCATTGTCATGAATGGGTTTATGTGTTTTACTTTATGGCCACCTAAATTGTACATTAGGACAGACATCTTCAAGATCAACATCAAATAATGTGTATTACAATCTTTTTCATGTGTATAATATGTTTTTTGTTTTTATTTTGTTTTTGAGACAGGGTCTCACTCTGTCACCCAGGCTGGAGTGCAGTGACATCATCACGGCTCACCACAGCCTCAGTCTCCCCAGGCTCAGACTTAGGTGCTCCTCCCATCTCAGTTTTTGTATTTTTAGTAGAGACGGGGTTTCGCCATGTTACCCAGGGTGGTCTCCAACTCGTGGGCTCAAGCGATCTACCCACCTCAGCCTCTCAAAGTGCTGGGATTACAAGTGTGTGGCAGCACGCCTGAGCAGCAGTTTGATCTTTTATTATTACTCCTATGATTCTTCACTGACTATGCTAATCTCCAAGGGAAAACAGTATCCAGGCTAATCCACCAAAAACAATACCTCCAGTGAGAATCCAGGCTATGGAAAAGAGTTGACACATTTGACCACACTTCAAAAGAAATTATTTGATGAGTGATGATGATACAGTGAACTGAATAGTGGCAGTGGAGATGAAGAAAAACAGATTCAGATACCATCAACATGTCTTACTTTTGAGTTTAGTCAGTAAAGTAGAAGAGTGAGTCAAGGATACATTGAGATTTCTAACCTGACCAAGTAAGATAGAGAACCTTTGGTTTGGGATTTAAAAGGTGATGAGTTTAGGTTTGGCCTATGGGATATCCAAGCGAGAGACATCAGTGGCTATGGGTAGAAGTAGAACTAGTACATATGATGTTATAAATCTTCAGTTAATGTGTGCATTTCACTTAAATGAACTTTTTGCTGCTACTTCTAGAAGGAAGGCTGCATACTTGTTCTTGTAGTTCCCAAGATAAATTGGATCAGAATTTACCTGCAGATCTGCTGTAGAATGAGATTGTGACTTTTCCTTTGGATTTTGTAATTTTTCATGTCTTGCCTTTTATTTCTGGTCAAACCATTAAACAGTATAATTTACCTTTGAATATATGTCAAGTATATAGTTCAAAATGTTGCATAGAGATATGTTGGACTAGCTTAGAAAATTTTTCTTGAATAGCCTGGCAAAGTTTTTGTGTTTAACTGTAAGAATGCTATAAAAAAAAAAAAAAAAAAAAAAAAAAAACCCAGAATTTTCTTACCAGTGCAAGGATCTATAAGAACCATTCTAACTTCTACATTATGTAGAATTCATTTCTTCATGTATATACTACAGAATTAGAATGTTTATAGGAAACTATAAAACTCACTAGCCAGCTTCACACATTTGGGCACATTATTTGCTGTTGATCTTGAAAATGGCTGTCCTCATGTAAAATCTATGTGGCCAGAAATAGCACTTTGAGAACAGCCACCTTAACTGTGTGCACATTAATTTTAGATTCTTGGTTAATGGAAACCACAACTACTTAATGTACTTTTATTTGTGACCGTAGTCACTGTGATAGTCAAGCCCTTGTTTAAAGGGAGCAAACTTACTTTTTATAGTTGGTCCGTATCTATTTACTGTAATTATTTCCTGGACATCCACTGTTATGTCAGATCACCTGGAGATGTACTTCAGTGTATATGGTATTAAAATTACTTTTGCTTCCCCTGCCTTTTCAATTATCCTACTTTGACTTTTAGTTGAGGAGGGAGAGACTATACCATCTGCTCCTTTATTAAGTTCTACAACTGTACCAATATCGGTTTTCGTTTGAAACAGAATCTATTATTTTTCTTCTGAATTTACTCCTACTACCTTTCACTCATTTATTTAACCACAGAATTCAAGGAGAAGATATTGATTGATTTAAGCTGGCAATTTGGGAAGGACATGTTTAATAGGAAATTGAGAGGTCTCTGTCTTAGATGAATACTAGACTCAGGGTAATAAAAATGTATGTTGACATAATACTGACTTTGTAATTGCTCGGATGCTGTCTAATTAGTACACTTTCCTAACCATATTGATTTTTTATAAACACTACATTTTAAAACATTACAGTGCACTTATAGGTCAACTCTCATTTCACAAATGCACTTAACAGCTGGGTGGAGAGTTAACAGAAGGATTTTAGGTCTTGCCCTTCTTTGCATATTGATGTTTCCATAGGGACTGCCTTCCAACCAATGACTGCAGCTATTTGGATTGTGTGTGGCAAATACAGACATCTCAAATGAACCACTGATTAGTTAAATTACTGTTTAGGCTGATAATGACAATAAACATTGTATTTTAAAGCCCATTGCATGCCAGCTTCAGAGGCATGTTACATCAAGGCAGATACATCAACCCTCACATTACACTGCATCTTATTTATTGTGTTTTTAATGGATAGCCCACCCCCACAAAAACGCATAGTACAGCCTTTCTACAAATACCTTTTAAATGCCTGAATGGAATTGAGAATTATTTGTTTGTTTGTTTGTTTGTTGTTTTTTTGAGACCAAGTCTCACTCGTCCAGGCTGGAGTACAGTGGTGTGATCTTGGCTTATCTCAAAAAAATAAAACAAAACAAAAAAACCCGAAGTTTGAGCATTTAAGTAATAGACCAATTATAATTGAACTTGATGATTACTGTTAGGAGGAAGACAAACAGGTCACTTACAATCCAACCTGAATTTAGTGTTAACAAGACTAAAAAATATCTAATCACAAAATCAATATAAATTAAGTTTAAATGCTCAAGAAAGAATAAATTAAAAATTACCTATAACCCTGCCACCTAAAGAGAACCACAGTTTACATTTTAGCACAGTTACTTTTTTTCTATACACATACATGTTTACACAAAATTTAGAATGTATATATATACTATGTAGTAACATGCTTTTAAAAAACCTAACGTATTGTGCATGCTTTGTCATATTCCTAAATATCATTCTGAAACCTATTTGATTCCTACAGTATACTCTATTTTAAGAAGCACAGTGAATTGCTTTGCCACGAGTTCCTATTATTGTTGGTATTCCAGGTTTTTGAAATTCATTTTAAAAAACTCCTGAGAACATGTTTGTTGAGCAGTATTTATGCTTTCTTTATGATTTTTTTTTTTCAGAAGTATAGTTGCCAGGCAAAGGAATTTTGGGGAAAAAACTACATGGAATTACTTAGCCTAGGAAAAGTTTGAGGCCTTTTTTTCCTAAATTAAGCAACTGTTCTCCAGCTCGTAGAGGAACTTATTAAAATGTTATATACCTGAAGAGAAATGGCATCACAACTTTCACGTTTAAATTTATAGATGAAGCCTTTTTAAGAATAATGTATTTGAAGTTTTGTTAATGACATTCTTCCCATAATTGCTGTAGAGTTTGAGAGTCCTCCAAAAGTCTTAGAGATGTACAGGAATTTTTTTTTTAATTTTTCAGGATGAGCTTCTTACCACTATAAGTGGTCTTTGTTGACTGTTGGATTGCTTGCTTTCCCCCATCTCCTTCTTAAGGAAAAATTATAAGTTTAATTACTCCAGTATATTCAATCCTTAGTAAAGGGAAGAAAAGAAAGAAACACAAACAAACAGTAATGGCATCAGTACTGCGTTTGTACACTAACTCCTGAATCTTTTCTAAGTACTTAGAGCCCTGAGCATGAGGAATCTCAGAACAGAGTAGCAGCAGGGCTCAAATTAGCAGTATATCTATGGGCTTTTCCCATTTTTGAAAGGGATGACTCCTGTGCAGTGTTCATAATTAAAGTCCAGACTGTAAAATATTACTTTGGTGGTGAGAAATTGTTTAAGACTTCAGAACTTGAGATGTTTAAAGCATTTCATTAGTGTATGTAGGAGAAGTTTATATGCAGATCTGAAAATCATAGAATACAGAATCCAGTTGAGTATCAGAATCACTGCTCTTATTTTGTAGTTTGAGGATATATTTAGCAGGCAACTCCTGCTACTCTAAATATGATTTGTTTACATGAACAAACCATAAAAATATATTCTGTTACTGATTCTTCCTTTGAGGTAAACATGCACAGTAAGTTATACAGATTTTAGGTATACAACTCAATACAATTTTACACATAGGTATGCCTATATAACCCCCACTTGGTGATCAAGATTAGAACATTTTCAGCATCCTTGGTGGCTCCCTTTCCCAGTCAGTACCACTCCTTCTGCCAGATAACCACTGTTCTGACTTCTGTAATTATTGCCATTTCTTAATCTTCATATGAATGAAATAATAGAATTATAGCATTTTTCGGTCTGCTTTTGAGATTTATCCAAGTTTTTGCATGTACCAGTACTTTGGTTTTTATTTTGCTTCTTTGTTGTTGTTGTTTTGTATAGTAGTAGTCTATTATATGAATATCCCACAATTTATTTATTCATTCTGCTGTTAATGGACATGGGTTGCTTCCAGTCTGGGCTGTTGTGAATAAAACTGCTGTGAACATTCTTGTATATGTCTTTTGGGGGACATGTGCATTCAGTTCTCTTGGGTACGTATCTAGAAGTGAAATTGCTAGATAGTAGGATAGGTAATTGTTTACTTTTAGTAAATATCGCCAAACAGTTTTCCACAGTGATTGTACCAAGTCATACATTCTTGCTAGCTACAAATGAGAGTTCCAATGCTCCATATTCTCTATTTAATAGTAGCTATTCTGTTTGGTGTATATGGTGGTACCTTTACTGAGTTTCTATTTGTTTTTTTTTGTTGTTGTTACTGTTTTTCAAAGACAGGGTCTTGCTCTGTTACCCAGGCTAGAGTGCAGTGGCACTATCATAGCTCACTGTAGCCTCAAACTCCTGGACTCAAGAGGTCCTCCTGCCTTAGCCTCCCAAGTAGCTAGGACTACAGGTGTGTGCCACCACACCTGGCTAATTTTAATTTGTCTTTGTAGTGGGGTTTTGCTGTGTTGCTGGCTGTTCTTAAATGCCTGAC